CAATGGATCAGGGCGTTATCGCGACCTTTAAAGCATACTACCTGAGAAAGACTTTCAAAGGATATTATCAATAGCATCCTTAATACTGAATTTCTTCCAAAATTGAGCTAGTGTCATAGAATTCTCTCCAGATGTTGCTTGAATCGCTTGTTTTCGAAGACGACACACACACACACACACACACCTGGCGGTAACAATTGGAACTATGACCTCGTCATCATTGATGATTACACCCCCTCCCACCCTCCCCTGAGGCAGCCAATCAGCGTGAGACGGAATCCTTTGGGCGGTAAAGTGCGGGGAGGGCTTACTACTTAGGTAATAATGGCTGGAGATGGCTTGAATGGGAATTGAAGAAAAACTTTAATATAAGTTTAACATAACAGCAAATGTACAACGTTTTGTCATCATCACGATGAAAATGTGCAAGAATTGCTAGAAGCTCATTCAGAAGAACTAACCAATAAGGATCTGATAAAGTTGGACACTCAGAGAGCATATAAAGACATTGATGAATGTGAAGAAATCTTACCTACCCGCTAGCATGAGATGACGAAAAAGGAATTAGAAGAACGTTTCACGGTTATTGAAGAATTTAAGGGAAATTGTTGAGAAACAGACCCTGATGAAGACAGAAGCCGTCAAATTTGCAGAAAAATTGATGAGGCAATTTCTCAGTGCCACCAATTATATGAAGAACAGAAGAATACGATGCGAAAAGCCACTCTAAATAAGTTTTTCATAAAAAAATGAGATCAATAAATTTTAATTCATTGCATTTTTTTTCGTTTTTTTTTATATACCTATACTTTGATTAAAAAATACGCAAGATAGAAATTAATTGTGAATGAAAATTGAGGTACGAATTACATGATTTCCTATAAGTTATTATATTCGATTAGTGCGTTTTCGATTAGTGCGGCTCTTTTAAAGAACACATTAACCGCACTAATCGAGATATTCCTGTATAAGATAATATTTTTACTTCTACACTTGCGGTTTCCATAACCAATGCTATAAAGATATCCAATAGGATCGAGGACTTTTGAAGTGTGGACCGCTTTTCATTACACATTTCTCGTGATGAAGAACCCTCCCACTCCCCCGAAAGTGCTCGGGGCATTTCTCGTGTTTGTATTATTATTTGTGTGTGTGATTAACGGTGATTAAGTGCTCAACAGAGAAGCTTGCGATGTTTCCACTTGTCTTGTGAAATTGAAAACATGTAAATATCTTTAAGCCTAACTTTTATTATAAAATAATGTAAATTGAAGATGCTTTTCGCATCCTTCTTAGTTTATCGATTTCGAATTTCAAATCAGAAGGGTATAAAACGGCATTTCAGATCTATCTATCTGAGTGGCCTTTCGTTTATTATCATAACTTGTCAATTGGGCTGGACGATTGGAGAAAAAAGTAAGTTTTTTTTTTTTTTATTTTGAAACACTTCAGTGTTTTTATGTGCAGTATAAGACTTTAAATGTTATGGTTTAAATGGCGAAAGCTGGCGAAGTATTGGGAACCAAAAGACCTTACATTTGTGACCAAAAACATGTGGATTTTACGTAAAAATCACGCAGGTCACGTAAATGTATAGGCCCCTAAATACTAAGAAAAAAGTTAATTCTAGTTGTAACAAAGTCACGGAGAAGCCTTTTTAGGAATCCAGGTAAATCGTTATTGGTTTATCTGTTACTATATTTTTCACATGATTTTTATTTTACAAATAAACTTACAAAAAAAGTTACCGAATGAAAGTGATGTCATCAGCACGTTGCATTCTTTGATACTGTGCTTTTGTAACATTCTGTGTTTGATTTGCGCCACATAACACCCAATTATATCTTTCCTTACGAAACCATGGTCGCAATAAATGAAATATTTGTGAAACGTACAAGTGTCTTTGTTTTCCTCAATTCTGTAATTAAGGGGTTTCGAGTACGTTAGGCATTAATTATATAATGCCTAGACTATTAACAGCCTTAAGAAACGAATTGCATTGAAGTAGGAGTAACAAGGTGAATTGCGAAGTTTTTCACTAGTTATATAATTCTGGTATAACCTCAAAAACCTAAAAAAAACGGCAGCACTTACAAATAAAAACTTTCAGAAAACTGAGTCAAAATCAGTTTCTGCTTATTCAAAGATGTTTGATACGAGTCGTACGTTATTTCCAATGTATCTTTTGAGGAAAACTTTTTTTTTTAGATTTACATAAAAAGTTCAAACTAACTTCACATTTACTGTTATTTTCGACTAACCATTCCACATGAAAGTCAAACGACAAGTATAGATCGGTTTCTCCTTTTTGTATTTGCATAAGCGTGATTAGATGTTTCCTTTATGGAAATGAAGTAGATCTTTTCCCCAAATATCCTGTCTATAGATTCTTCTACAAATTCGGTAACATATTTTTAACTATACTGGAAAATATAACTGTGTAAACCAGAGTACACGATGTTTTTTTTTCTTGAATAAGATATTATAAATAAAGTATGCTTATAAGTGTTGAAATTTTAATTTTCAAAATTAGAGAGGCTCAAAACACTGATTTTATGATTTAACTCTTGTGGACAGATGGATCCACAATAAAATCTTGGTCTTTCATACCCTTGCTACGCCACTGTTTTCAACATCCCTTGGATTGTTTTCTGTTTATTTATATATATAATTTCTGTTTTCAAGTAAACTAAATAATATATAGTGATAGTTATTGCACTTTGCTCTCGTAAATGTTCATTAGCTTCAAATGCATATTTTTCATAGGTCAATATTGATTATTATTTCTCAGGCAAAGTTGACATTTTCATCCATACCAGAATTACTATTTCGTTTTCAGTGTGATATTTTAGAAAACGCCAATGAACGTTTAACCTTTGCATTTTTCCTGTGCTTGCGCTTCATATTTTCAAAGCGATCTCAAAGGCCATGACGGTTTTAATCTTTTTTTTTCAGAATTTACTTTTTTTTTTCAAAATATTATGTTTTGATAAATCATTCAGCTTTATAGTACGATATTTATGATATTTCAATATAAAACGCGTAAATCAAACTTTCGCGCTTTTGAGAGAAGACAATAACGTACAAACACCGAAAGTTTTATATAGCGCGTTTAACATTTTGATGCTAAAGCATATACATTTCGAGACAACCTCTTATTAACATATTTTCTAAATGATTTGCAGATTACCATAAAAGGATGGGAATACGTAAACTTTTATAGGAGATTCCAGTGAAGGTCGTTTGACCGAAACCATTTTCCTTCTCTTTTCAACTGTTGTAATCGTTTTTGTATTTCCAGTTTTCATCAAATTGTTTATTTTATTGTTATTAATTTTTAAGCGCATTTTTGCTAGTTTTATAAGGGTCAAATGGTTTTCTTGCTGGCTACATTGAAACCTTGGTTTGATTCTATTTCAGACACATATTTTAGACACAAGTTGGTGAGTAAGGAAGCGCACATATGAGAGATACATTCTTTTAACTCAAATTGGATCAAACTTGACGGGCTTCAAAATGGGACGGCACAATGCTGAAAAAACAAAACAATCCAGGTCGTGAAAAATGTTCACCAACCTCGTAACACCATAGGTAGATGACAAGTACGGCACTGTACTGTCAACTTGCCAGATAGATGTTCGTAACTTGGAATCCACTTAGCCTAAAATATGATTATTTTATATATAAGGGTAATAATAAGTCAAATGACAAGAAGATTAACTTTCTATCTTAATAATTCCTATATACTATTATACCTTACAACGGTGAGTATTCTGAAACAATTATACAAAATATATATTTTTAATTAAAATTATTATTCTATCCGTACGTTAAACCGTGATAAAAGAAAACTGATTACTCTGTGTGTTTGTTTTTGAATTTCGCCCAAAGCTACACGAGGGCTATCTGCGCTAGCCGTCCCTAATTTAGCAGTGTAAGACTAGAGGGAAGGCAGCTAGTCATCACCACCCACCGCCAACTTTTGGGCTACTCTTTTACCAACGAATAGTGGGATTGACCGTCACATTATAACGCCCCCACGGCTGAAAGGGCGAGCATGTTTGGTGTGACGGGGATTCGAACCCGCGACCCGCAGATTGCGAGTCGAGTGCCCTAACCACCTGGCCATGCCGGGCTACTCTGTGTGATTATTTGCAGAACAATAACTTGCATCGTTTATAAGTGACAACTTCAAAATAATTTCTTATAAACATGCTAAAGTGGAAATTATACGTAATGATTACAAAAGTCCTGAACATTATATTTATTAAAATACTAATTATTTTATAAGGTTTATGACATTAAAATTATCTCGAAATATGAAAATGCTAAAAACTGTATTCTAGTACGAAAAAAAAAAAGACTTGGTTTTAGATCTAACATAATTTTATTACTGGTACGATTGTTTAAGAAAATGTGACTGAAAAAACAGCAACAAAACACTACTAATCTCGAGTAATTCACTGAAGGAGTTTAATTACGATCGACCTGGGAAGGGGATTTCTTAATAGAAATATGATTGATGAACACTGAATGTAGATTGAACTTTACATTGCTTTTTTCACTTTTCAGAAATATTCTTGCCTGTGATTATACGATATTTCTGGCCTAGTAGTGAGGGCATTTAAACTAATAAACAAAATCAAGACTAGGTACTAGGTTTAATGTCATTTCACTACTTGTTTTTGGGCTTTCGTATAGTTTTTCGTTTATCTGTAGGATCAATCCAGAATTCATTTTACAACCAAAATACTTAAAAAGAGTTTTAGCTTATGTACACGATTGAGTGATTTTATATGTCCAAAGAGAATGTGAAAACATTCTCATCCCCCTGTTCCACAGGAAACCGAAGTTAAGCACCGGTTCCTTGTATCTATCAGGCACAAAATGAGTTTAATTTAATACTTTATATAAAGAGCCGATAAAAAAGAAGAAGAAAAAAAAACAGATAGGGCGAAATCGTTCATTTTTGAAGTAAAATACCTGGGGGAGGGGGGAAATACAATAGTAATTAGTAGGATTAATTGTTGTTATTTGTTACTCACGTGTTATTAGGGATTGTAAAACTAAGAAGATCATTGGACCCTCAAGCAACATGATACATATATGGACCCCATTGGCAATCTTCGCGTTAACACTGAAAGTTGCTTTGACTGGAAAGGTAGGATTGTTTTTCCTTAAAAGCGAATATATCTGTTTTTAATGTGGCTAAGAGAACTTTCGACTACAAATAAGAAGGCTCTTAACAAAAGGAATACAGTAAGACCATTGCTGAGGTCAAACCTGAACACGCTTCTACATGCTTTGGAGTACAATACTCGAGAAAGTCTGTTATTTTAAATATATCTCATTAGAAGTGCAGAAAATGAGCACATTTCTTTGTGGATCAAAGAGGTATTGTTATATTTAGGCAGTCTTATTATAGCTGGAACCAGGTTTTTGTAGTTCTGCAGTTTTGGGCATACATATCAAATGATACTTCAACAACGTAATCACGAACTACTCAAACGAGCTTTAAAAAATAAGATGCCACGAATAGTTTATGAACTCTATACAGAAAACAGTATTTAATTTATGGTACGTTTCATGAAAGATGCATAGTCGATATGTTTGAACAAAAATTAGCATTTATCATAACTCAATAAAATTTATTGCTACGCCACGATTTGTTAACGATGAATACTACACAATTCTATCTTTCTGTACTGAGAACTAAAGGTTTTGGCGAAGATGCAAATTCTGAAACACCAAATGTTTTCTAGCGGAAGGATTTAAATGACAGAATATGATCTAAGTATGTTGTTAGAATTCATTTAAAATATTATAAAGGCTCGGTACGTAATCATAATGACAGAATATGATCTAAGTATGTTGTTAGAATTCATTTAAAATATTATAAAGGCTCGGTACGTAATCCGAATTTTTAGAATCAAACATCATTTCAAGATTGCAAATATGTTAAAATCCTTTGCCTTCATGCAAAGTTAGTGGAATTGGTAACGCTTGCCAGTTTTACTTTGCTTGTAGCTATTGTTTGATCTTATTCTCATAGAATGTTTTCGTCAGCTTGATTGTTTTGTAATTTATTTATGACAGAGGTTATGAAAAAATCTAAACGGTGGTAAAGCTGTTGTTTATAACATGAGAAAATAGCCTGTTTATACTTTATGCAGCTTGTGAGTGACAATCTTTGCGACTGTTAACAGACCACTACGCCTCGAGAATAGAGCATAAAGTCCACAGAAACTGAAAGCAAAAATAACGATGTTGTTTCTTTTACGACTCTCTTTTTCCTTTCTTTTCTAGATCCAACATCGTTGGTCTAGGTTTCAGTAGTGTCAAGCAAAGTAAAAACTTTATCTTCTTTCCACTTCCTGAAGATGGTAGCACTGCAGCCTTGTGATTAATGGGCTGCCACTGGAGTGTATTGATCCCAGCTAGTTTTTAGGCTGCAGTTGTTGTAGACAAGAAGCCTTGAGTTCTAGATGAAAACCTTCTAAGTTTATACTTAGAATAGTAGAGTTCTACAGATGCTTTAAATGTTAATGGAATTTTTCTTTAGTTTCCTTACCTATATGCTTTTCTACAAGAAGTTTTATAAACAAACTCTGTTTCAATGTTCAGACGTCATCTGTCATAACACTGACAATCCATACTCTATCCTAAAGGAAAGAACATAAAAAAAACTATCATAAATTCGTGAGGTGGTTTAAATAAAGTAATCTACTCAATCATTTTTTTATGTTAAAACGCAAACAAAACGTTAAACCCACATTTGTGTAGAAAGATTTGTATTTGAATAAAACATAAGCTATCTTTGGTAGTAGCTCATTAGAAGGATCAAAACAGGCAAGCAATGCAAAACTATTTTAGTGGAAAGCTCGTTGAATTTACCATAATTTATGACGTGTTTATTAGATTTTCCTTAAATATTAAGTTCTGGGTCCATTTAAAACACTTTATCGTATAAAATTTGTTTATTGTTAATCCAGCTTGTGAAGTATATACAAACATCGTTGTTTATTATGAATCCAGCTTGTGAAGTATATACAAAAAATCGTTGTTTATTAATAATCCAGCATATGAATAATATACCGAATTAATCATTGTTCAATTAATAACAAACAATGATTTCTACATATACTTCACATGCTGCATTAATAACAAACAATGATTTCTACATATACTTCACATGCTGCATTAATAAACAGCATGTAAAGTATACTACCAGAAAACGCATTTTATTATTTTACTGGTTTGCCGTATGAAGGAACTGAATATTTCTTGTTAGTGCAATTATCACTGTAATCATACTTGTTTTAGCTCTCAATGTACATTTTTGTTTGTCAATTTATGCACATAAATTACTGGTAAATTTTGGTGTTTCTACTATAGTTACACTGTGAACGTTTTAGTGTTGTCATTGTAGTGGTCATTTTAATGTTATGGGAAAACAGTTTTCACTTCACACCGGCGGATGTGACGTTTAGATGAGTATGTCGTTTCGTTTCCATCCTGTCGCCATCACCTTAGTCTCTACTTTGATTGATCATTACACGTGCAGTATGAATATGTGCAGATAACCAAAGTAGACAAAAAACCTAACATATCGGGGAGTACACGGTCTGGCGATCTCTGGCAAGCTGGGACATTACCTGCTCCCTTCAAGAGGGACAAAGTTTTACTCCAGCCGCGTAGTTTCAATTTGTCCGCATTATTCCCGTGTCGGTCCGTGACTGATTAGTGTGGAAGCAATTGTATTGGATTCACACTCCCAGGCATCGGATACAAACATAGTTCCGTAACTCGGTTGTTCGTATGTGTGGCTGTATATGTTTACGAGGTCTGAACTTATCTCTAGAGACCAAATGAGAAACTACATATCAGTTGCGAGGTTTTGAACTGACAGTAAGAACTGAACGACAGCCCTAATTGTGTGCATATCATTGAGACTATATTGTCTGACGAATATAACGTATGTTGTTGAAGTTACATTCAAATATCGTTTTTAGAGTGAATTCTGCAAGAAATAAGTTTGATGTTTTAACTATAAAAAAAACAAACTTTAAGCGTGGTACCCCGCTTTGTGACGTAAGCATTTTTTAAAGAAGTACACATGTAAACTGGTACCGGGCAAGTTTTGAACCCGACGATTCATTGTTCGCGACTCATTGGTAAAAAATCGCGTTTGTTTTTGGTTTTCGCGCACAGATAAACGAGGGATATCTGATCTAGCCGTCCCTAATTTAGCAGTGAAAGACTAGAAGGAAGGCAGCTAGTCATCACCACCCACCGCCAACTCTTGGGCTACTCTTTTACCAACGAATAGTGGAATTGATTGTCACATCATAACGCCCCCATAGCTGAAAGGGCCAGCATGTTTGGTGGGACAGGGATTCGAACCCGCGACCCTGAGAGTGTGAGTCAAGTGCCTTTACCACCTGGCCATGCCGGGTCTATTCGGTCAGACAAGAGTAGTTTAAGAGTTCACGGCGGGTGCTATTGACTATCTACTTGCCCTTTATCAGTTCAAAATTAGGAACGGTTATGCATGGATAGTAATTTGTGTAATTTGCACGAAAATTCTAAAACAATCTCAAACACGGTCTTTACTGACTCTATATCTTTGTATTTGTCTGCCTCTGTCTTTATACTTTCACATTTATCTGCCTTTATCCACAATTTCTTTGTAACTGTTTTTATCTCCTCATCTCTGTCTATATGTATACTTACCCACTCTGACTTCTCGCTTTATCAATACTTTTTTCAGTCTTTATCTTCCAATTCTTTTGCCTATTATACTCAAGTTCTTTTTATTGATATTTAATGTGTATGTACACTTTATCTGTTTTTGTATAATTAATCTGAATTTAATTGTACACTTTGTCCTCATTTATTTATGTTTATATTATCTTTGTATGCGGGTACAGTGAATCGATCATCATTTAGACCTCTAGTTTTGTACTTGAAACATCATTTACACACACACACACACACACACACACATATACAGATAGAAAACTTTTAAATACAGAACTTTGAGTAAATTATTTGATAAATTACTGAACTTAATGGGTATTATTTATTCTGTTACTTAGCGCAAAACTAGGCTTAGCGTGTTAAGTTCTTTATAAACGAACCTTAAACAAAACCTCTTCAGTTATAAATATACATTCATGTTTTAATATCAGTAAATTTAATGACATTTTTCTTCTCAACAAAGTTCTAAGTAAACGAATTGTAGTGTGTTATAAGTCGTAGCGGACTAAATTACTTTTTGGCGTGAAGTATATTTTCAGCTTTTATGTGATTCTTTCTTGCATTTTCTGTTCCATGTTTGTAAATGACCTTTTTTCTGAAAATATATCTTTACACTTTAAGTTGTAGGATTGCTTTACTTTTTCACATAGTTTTATGATGTATTCTGCAGTAAAAAAAATTCTAACCTAAAGGAAAGGACTGGGCACAAGAGAGAAATAGATAGGTCACGGAGTGCCTGACATGATAATTAGTTTAATAATTCATGTGGCGCATCGGTATTAGAATTTGTACATCCAACTATATCTTGGTATTAGTTGACGCGTCCTTGACCACAGCAAAAAATATTCAGGAGACTAGCTTTTGATTAGATCAAAGTTAATATAATTCTTATTGAATTACGGATTAGTCTTCATGATTCATATGTGATTTTGATCACAGATTTGTTTTTTGGAATTTGAAGTCAGTACGGACGGATAAAGTTATTTATATTGCAAATAACGAGAAGAAAAAAAATATATAAAAATTTCAAACTAAAACTTTAGTTATGGTTTAAGACTATAGCTCTTTTGAAGGACTTCGAAAAAAAGTTTTCACATTTTGCCGTTACACTATTCCTAAATGTTTTAACAATCAGTTATATTTTGATAAAAATAACAACATAATCTTTAGAATTACGTAACAAATTTTTATCGATAAGATACAAAATTAAATGGGCACTCTAATAAACAATAACTAGCACATGAAAAATAGACAGGTATACAGCTTGAGAAGAAGAAATATCGTCGATTGTTGTTGAACTAATTCTTAGCTTCAGGTTCGCGATTACCAGAATCTCTCAAATCCTTAATTGTTCTTCTTTAGTTTGAGCTTTTGACTAAGCTAGAATTTTCATTATGCAAAGAACCTTTAGTGTAAACTATTTAATTGTAATCTGAAACCAAGAATAAATCAATAAAATTCGGTTACACCACTTCTGATCTTCAACCTGTAAGCCGCTCTTTTTTTATGTCTTTATGAAAAGCTCACAGTTAAATGGTTTAACCTTTAACCACTTAAATGCTTGAAAATTATATGCAGAAAGTAGCTAATAAGGCATAGAAAATGTATTGTCATTCACAACTATACACGATATGAATAAATGCATTTTTTATTTAAAGTTTTACGTATAATACAAAATATTGAGGTGTAATCAATCAAGACACACTACAGGACACGTGTGTTATTAACAGGAGTGATAGTTTAGCGATTTTCCACCTTCTGTAGCTCGGACTGTGGTTAATCCAAACTACAAAAATTTTCAGTGGATGTGCTCTAATGAACTCATTAAGAAATACCTGAGATATAACATCTCCAATTTTGATTTTCTTCCTTTATTTCCCTTCGCACCAAAAGTACGGAAACTTTAAAAAAACGTACTTAACTTTTATGAATTTTTTTCAAATTTGGTACACTGATAGAACTTCACAACCTACAATTAGGAGTTTCGTTTGGTGTAAATATAAGCGACATATGCAATATTATTCAACAAAAACTGCTCAAATTTGACGAAAATGTTTGCGCACGCCTACGCAAAAAGTTACATGAGCTATCGGTCTAACATTTTTACTACAGTTTCAACTAAGAATAAAAGTGGACCGTTTTTAGTTTCTTGTCATTCAGGTTAAAGACTGCTGATTTAGAGCAGCAAAACTATAGGGTGAAAAGACGTGCAGATACGTAAGTATTGGTTAGGCCAAGCAAACTAGATTAGCAGTTTCTAGCTCAAGTTTCAAAAGAATCATACGGGTGGACGGTTATTATTGATTATTCATTGTTAACTTTTCAGCACAAATTTATTAAATTTTCTGAAATTATCCTAATTAAAGAGCGTCCAGCGTCACATGATATTAGCTTAAGAAATTAACATAAATAATGATGCTTGATAAAGCAGTACCGATTGCATGGGGGTGATGACAAGAAACTGTTAATCTAAATTCCATGGCGTTACTATAAAGGAAGCTATTAACACTGCTTTAGAGAGGGAAACTACCACCAAATATTTTAAAGAATCTGGTTGATTCTGTAAAGTAAAGGTCTGTTCCGAATAACAGGGTTGCGATCCTAAAGCTAATATTGGTTACTATCGAGCGGCACTTTATTACTTACTTTGGTATGTTGGTGTGTATTGACAAAAAGCCATAATGTCTCATCAAAAATACCCTGGGTGTAAAAAAAAAAAAAATTGGTGTGGCCAAAAAGAATTCAGCGTGCGACGTAAAGGGAGGAAATCAAAATTGGCGTTTAAATTGGTAGCTACACTTATAGCATTGATAAGAATTTTGCAGCAAGTATTCATTCATCCATTTTGGGCCGCACACCTAAGGTGTTTTCGATTAGATTAATAATAACACGTCTTTACCGT